GATTTGTGCTTGGAAAGAGGAGTGGGGGGGGGGAGGGTTCTGCTAGGAGGGGGATTTGGGAGGGAATTTGTGTTAGGAAAGGGGGATTGGGGGGGGGCTGAAATTGTGCTAGGAGGGGGGATTAGGGTGGGGAGGAAGGATTTGTGCTGGGAAAGGTCATTTGGAGGCGGGATTGTAGGGATTTATGCTAGGAGGGGGGATGTGGGGTAGAGGATTTGTGGTAGAGTGGAAAATTGAGGGGAAATAGGATGTGTGCTAGGGGGGTGAAGTAGAACTACAGGTGAAGATTTATTTTTTTTGGGGGGGCTGCAAGCAACTGTTCTTGCCTAGGGCACAAAATAGTCCAGCACCGGTCCTGATTTTTTGGGCACTATAGTTTTTGGCAACATCACGAGCACACGTCATTTTAAGATATGGAATGTTTGGTATCTATTTACTCAATGCCAGCTTATCTTTTATAATTTAGCAAAAATGGGTATTCTATTGTGTTTTTTTGCACTAAATTTTATTTTATTATATTTTTCCCTGAAAATTTGCGTTTAATAGAGTGTAACTCTTTGATGCAACTTTGATGCTTCTTGAGTGTTAGAGAGTGTAAAGTTGCATCAAAGTCACACTACATGAACAGAACGGTCATACTTTCCTATTAGCCAAAAAGAAAAAAAAAACCACAAAATGCATAAAAAAGGGAAAAAGAATGCATCAAAAACACGTGTCCAAAAACGCAATTCAAAACATACGGTAAAAAGCATCAATCGCAGCCTGAATAGATTTGAACCTAGCCTTAGTTATACTTTAACCACTTGCCGCCCTGCCACTGTAGAAATACGTGTTTTGTAAACAGGTAGGGGTGCGTGCGAGACGCGCCGCCGCCCTACCTGTCCCGCCGATCACAGCCACGGATGTCAGTCGCCGGTCACAGCCCTTACCGGCTATCTCCCGGCAATTGGCGGTAATCAGTGACAGAGAGCACAGCTGCAGTAGCTGTGCTTTCTGTCACTTCCCTGACAGCTCGAGGACAAGCTGATCAGGACAGAAGAGTTTCACTCCCCCGATCAGCCATGTCCCCTGCAGTACACACCCCTGTCCCCTAGTAAAAACACTCCCCTCACACAGATAACCCTTCCCTGCAAAATAAACTTAACCCCTTCCTCCTCAGTGCCATCAGTACAGTGTCAGTGTTTTTTTTTTTGCACTGAGTGACCCCAAGTCAGTACCCCCCCAGTGTCAGAATGTCTGCCGCAGTCCCGCCATAAGTCGCTGATCGCCGCCATAAGTCGCTGATCGCCGCCATAAGTCGCTGATCGCCGCCATTATTAGTATAGAAAAAAAAAAACCTAAAAATCCCAGTATCTTTCCCGCCATTTGTAAATGCTATAACTTTTACGTAAACCAATTAATTTACACGTATTGGTTTCTTTTTTTTTTTTTTTTTAGCAAAGACATGTCGCAGAATGCATTTTGGCAGAAATTTATGACTAAATTTGATTTTTACATTTTTTTTTTACTGGACATGTTTTATAGCAAAAAGTCCAAAATATTGTTTTTTTTTCCTCAAAATTGTCAGCCTTTTCTTTTATAGCGCAAAAAATAAAAACCGCACAGGCGATCAAATACCACCGAAAGAAAGCTCAATTTGTGGGGAAAAAAAGAATGTAAATTTCATTTTATGTACCGTATTGCATGACCGCGCAATTGTCCGATAAACTAGCGCAGCGCTTTATAGCAAAAAAATGGCGTAAAATTGCAGTATCTATACCATAGTTGGTAGACGCTATAACTTTCACACAAAGCAATCAATATACACTTATTGGGATTTTTTTTTACCAAAAACATGGAGCAGAATACATTTTGGCCTAAATTTATAACCAACTTTGAGTTTACTATATATTTTTTTATAGCTGAAAGTAAAATGAATTAGCACAGCGCCGAGTAGCAAAAAGAGGCCTGGTCATGATTAAGGGGGGTAAATCCTCTGGAGGTCAAGTGGTTAAGCTGAGTCTTGTGGATCATTTAAAAGAGGTGGACTTAAACATTTGAACTGGTTAGTGTGGCTTTTTTATGGTTTTTGAATTTGTATGCATTTTTGCTTATTGAGGAAAAGAAGATTTTTATTTCTGAGCGCCAATATTTGTATCAAAGCACATTTGACAGGGGGTGCATATACCATTCTACCTGGCTGCAATATATTAGATTGTTAGGAGTGCAGTGATTATATACTGTGTATCGAAGTAAAAATACATACTTGACAAAAACATCTTGCAGTCTCGCTTTACATTGACATTTCAACACTATTTATACAAAAATGGATACATCCAACTACGTAAAAGTCCAGACCGGACACTTTTACCCCCTTCCTGACCAGGGCAATTTTCAGCTTTCAGTGCTATCACACTTTGAATGACAATTGCGCGGTCATGCAACACTGTACCCAAATGAATTTTTTACCATTTTTTTTGAGACAGATAAAGCTTTATTTTGGTGGTATTTATTCACCACTGGGATTTTAATTTTTTTGCTATTTAAATGAAAAAGTCCAAAAATTTTGAAAAAAAGTGTTTTTTTTATAAAATTTTGCAAATAAATAATATTTCATCATAAATCTTTGCCAAAATTTATTCCGTTATCTTTTTAGTAAAAAAAAAAATACAAATTAGTTTATAACCAAAAATTATAATTTTAAACATTTTTTTTTTACATTTTTATTTTATTTTTTTTTATATTATTTTTTATTTTTATTTTTTTTTTACATACTGTCACCCTAGCAGTACAGTGTCACCATGGTGACACTGTACTACTTGTGGGGGGTCATGAAGATTTTTTATTTTTTTTACACTGATTGCTTTTACACCCATATAGGATTTAAAAGCAATCATTTCTCTTTCTCTCTGTCTGCATTCTTGCACTCATTGAGAAGTACTGAGTGAGCTGTGATTGGTCACAGCTTGTCACATGGTACAAGGCTGTTGTGAATAGCCTTGTACCATGTGACCTCTGTGATCATTCACAGATTTCACACGTAGTAAGCAATGATGTCACAAGTGACATCTTGCTTACTACTTTGCATGTGATCACTGATTGGCCAATCAGTGATCACATGATCGGGACCTCGTACAGAGTTCGATCGTGTTTCACTGTTTCCGGAGGACACAGCGGGCACCGGATCGTGGTGCTGCGCGCGCTCCCAGGGAGCGCGCACAAGCAGGGTGCGGGGAGGCCGTTTATAAACGGCCACCCAATCCTGCACTGCCACCGTCCGGCCGTTTATATGCAATGGCCGGTCGGGAAGTGGTTAAAGTATATCTACAATTACATCAGGATTGTATGGCCAGTATTTCTCCGGAGCATTGTTTCATCCCCCTAGGCTGCTTTGGCTGCACTGTGAATGCCTGCCAGGTACAGTCAAGGTCAGGGGCGGACTGACCATTTGGAAACTCGGGCACTGCCTGAGGGCCCTGGGGTCAGTAGGGGGCCCCATGAGATGCCTCTGGTACCTTTTTCATAGGCTTTTTTGAGTTTGGGCAAGGACACAGGGGCCCCATGATCCCCTATTGCCCGGGGGCCCTATGAGTTGTCAGTCCACCCCTGGTCAAGGTAGTGTAAAATATTTTGTATATTATTTACCATGCCAGTAATAAATATAAAACACAGCAAAGTTAGACTCGTGCACACTAGCAATTTTTAAAAAACCACTGGAAAAACCGCTGGATACAAAATGCTGGTAAGGCTCCATGCACACTAGCATTTTTTTAGCTTTTTTTTAAGCTCCAAGAAGCTGTTGTCAGCATTTTTTTCTGCTCCTACAAGCTAAATAGTGTTATCCTATGTGTCCATGCACACTACTTTAGGCTATTTCCATTTTTTGAGCTTCAGCATCTAGGAGTAGAAAAAAATAGTTTTTGCACAGTTTTTTGGAGCTGTTTTGCAGCAGAAAAAAAAACACTAAACATTTCTAAAAGCTCCTAAATGCTACTAAAACGCTCCTAACAGCTGTTTTCTAGCTTTTTTGTTCTCTACATGTACTGTAAGAATGCTAATAAAATGCTAATGCTCATAAATGCTTCTGAACACTACTAAAAAAAAATGCACTCCGGATGAGTTTTTTGCTTACAGTTCACACCACATTTGGTTCCGATGCTTTTTTTAAAAGGTGTTTTACTGTTTTCCAGTACAGTTCTTTGCAGAAAAAATGCAGCATGTTCTACTTTTTTTCTGTACCAGAAACTGACTGGAACTGACTGCACTGGTGTGCATTAGGGCCATTGGATACATGGAAAAGACTCTGCATGCATTTTTGAAGTAGAAAATAAAGCGCACTGGACTGCAAAAAAAGAAGCTAGAAAAAAGCTGTTAGGAGCATTTTAGTAGTGTTTAGGAGCGTTTAGAGTTTTTCCTGATGGGAAAATGTTCCAAAAAACTCTACAAAAACAATTGTTTTTGTGCTTCTAGATGCTGAACCTCAAAAACACATTAATAGCCTAAAGTAGTGTGCATGGACACATAGGATAATACTGCACAGTGGCCAAATGGTTAGCACTTCTTCCTGGCAGTACAAGGGTCATTGATTAAAATTCCAGCCATAGCACCACCTGCCTGGAGTTTGCATGTTCTCCCTGTGCCTGCGTGGGTTTCCTCCGGGTATTCCGGTTTTCTCCCACACTCCAAAGACATGCTGGTAGGTTAATTGGCTCCTGTCTAGCTTGGCCCTAGTATGTGTATGTATGAATGTGGGTCAGGGACACCTTAGATTGTACGCCCCTTGAGGGTAAGGGACTGATGTGAATGTACAATATATATGTAAAGCGCTGTGTAAATTGTATAAGTACCTGAAATAAATAAATAAACTTAGCTTCTAGGAGCAGAAAAAAAAATGCTAATAACATCTTCTAGGAACTTTTAAAAATTCTAGTTTGCATGGAGCCTAAATAAACGTGGAAAAGGAAAAGGGGAATAATTACCACAGTTATGTATTTATTAAAACAATAACAACGTATTTTAAATGCAATTTACTGCACAGCAGCACTCAGACTGGAAAAGGGAAGCTCAGCATTAAAGTGTTACTAAACCCAGGACCCTGTATTCACTATATCTGGTCTCCCTGAACCCTGCATTCACTATATCCGCTCTCCCCGGACCCTGCATTCACTATATCTGGTCTCCCAGGCTCTGCATTCACTATATCTGGTCTCCCTGAACCCTGCATTCACTATATCCGCTCTCCCCGGACCCTGCATTCACTATATCTGGTCTCCCTGAACCCTGCATTCACTATATCTGGTCTCCCCAGACCCTGCATTCACTATATCTGGTCTCCCCGGACCCTGCATTCACTATATCCGGTCTCCCACAGTACACAGAACATGGAAGTGCAATTATCTTAGTAAATATAAACTGCTAAATACCTTTTCGCATCAGCAGTTAGAGCAGTCTTGTGACATCTATCAGTATCCAGCAGAGCACTGGTTAAAGCTTGTAGGAGGAGTTTTCATTCTGCTCTAGGAGGATTCAGAATCCCTGACCTCTGTCTGGACAGTGTTGATTGGCCCTGTGCTGATCACATGCACTCTCCCAATAAAAGAAAAAAAAAAACCCTCTCCAGCAAAACACACCAAACTGAGCATGTGCTAATGCCTACAGTTCAGACCAGAGAAGACAGGATTTACACAATGCTTCGGATTAACCCCTTAGGTTCCACAGTGAGTATAGCAAGCATGTTTTACTGCATATACAGACTGATTTATTTTCATGGGTTTAGTAACACTTTAAAAGCAAAGCAGATACTCCTGCAGTGCATACAGTACGTGATAACAGTCAGGGCTGTGGATAAGGGGGTACCACCAGTCCCCCTGTACGGAACCCAGGCCAGCAGGGGGGCCCAGGCAGCTGGCTGAACAAGGTGTGGGCAGGAAGGGCGATCGGCACGGCCGGGGGTGGGGTGTCAATTACTGGAATCAATCCCCTGTATGCCTCTCTCTGCAACAGCTGAAAGCTGGATTCTGCTCCTCTCCCTCCTGCTGGATTTCAGCTGCTGCAGAGAGACCGATACAGGTGATCGGCTTTAATAATTGGCCCCCCCCCCGGTTCACCCACCACCCTCCCTGTGCACCATACATTTCCCCTTGAGTGCCCCTGCCCCCGCAGTGTTGCCGGTTTCCAAGCGGCAGCTGCAAGCACACAATGGGATCCTTCAGGATGCAGGTCCAGTAAACATATTGCATTTACCAGCCCCTTCCTTTCTTGAATTAACACAATGAATGATCGGAACCGATCGTTCACTGTGTTCATTCATAACTGAAGTGCTATTGGGGGGGGGGGTCCCTGTCAAGTTGGCTCTATGGGGCCCCATGGTTTCTAACAGCAGCCCTGATGACAGTGAACATATTGATAGAAGGACCAATCAGCAGACTAGAACATGCCCATGACCCTGCTTGAGGACCTGGCTATGCTGTCTGGCAGGGTTTTGTGAAAGAAAAGATTGGATGGACAAAATGTAAAATTCTGTGTCATGTAAAAAGTTTCCATATATGTAGTTCATGTGTGTATTTAGCTGCTTTCCAGGAATTCAGCTTTAATTATATCTAAGAACATAAAGGATACATACCAATTATGTTGCAGGTTATACATGTAAAAAATCTGAACTTTGGCTTTAAAGGGCAACTAAACATAAATGGCCAATTGATTTCAATTTTAATAAAATTAATGGAAAAATCTATATGTTTTCAGGAGCTTGTCGGAACTGATTGTATTTAAAATGAACACAATATAGAGGTGAGCGATATATAAGACATAGCTGACTTCCTGTCAGTGACCCTATAAAAATGTTGCCAAATGTCACTTTTAATGCTTTTGATTAAAAAGGGTCTTTCAAAATGAAATACTGTAAATCACAGCACTCTTGAATTCTGTGCAGGCTAGTGTGCTTCTACATAGGTTTGTATGAAATGATTATACATATGTTATGGGAAATTCACAAACCTCATGAACCCCCTCCCCCCCATACTTTCCCTTAAAGTATATGTAAACCCTCACCTTGTAAAAAAACTTATTCAGTTTGAAATAGAAATGAAAGGAAAACATTTGTGTATAGATATAAAAAAAAATACCTTTACTCCCCCACCCCCCTTTTTTATAAGTGATCATATGACCTCTGTTCTCACAGCTGCATAAGGAGTTAGAGAGATGGGGAAGGAGAAACAGCAGCACGCAGGTCTTCCCA